GAACTAGCATTCCTCTTCCTTTTTCTTTGCTGCTTCCTCAGTCCAGCTAGGTATATTTTGTCTCTTACTCTGGTTATTGATGATAGATTTTGCCATTGAGCTGCCTGTATTTCTTTCAATGCTTGTTTATGCTTCCCATTAGTTAAATACTGTGTTGGGTTAATCTCTCTGGCCTTTTCTTCCCCAGCCTGGGTCACGTTTTTTCCCCCAGGGAGCCCAGGCTTGGGAATCCGGCATACTGCCTCTCCACCTCTCCCTATTCCTTAGTTTCACGCGGCCGCAAGCTTAAGGTGGCCACCATTTGTTTATATCTCCCGAACCGACAACGCAGCGACTGTTGGTTTGTTCTGATTACCGTTGCGTGTGTTGGGTTCTGATTGCCGCGTGGGTGCATCTCTCTACCCGGCGGCTAGTTGGTGGGGGCCACAAGCGGTCACAGCACTCACCGGCCATTGCGGGGGCTGATGGAGCCTCTGCTTTTCGATGCTCTTTCAACATGGAAGCGCGCGAAAATGGACCCTGATGGCCTGTAGCCGTCTGGTGGTTCTTGCTGCCTTTGACACGGCTCCTTGTCTTTCAGATTCCCCTGGGTCTATTTTTCCTTCTCCCCACCCCAGTTGATTTCTCATTATCTTTCCTTTAGTCATTGCATTTTAGGTAATCCCCCTGTATCATAATTTTACAGGGTATTTTTTCTATATTACTATGATTTGGCTACCCTACCTGCTACTACTGGCGTCTATAACCCTGTGATTTTGTATAGAAATACCCTTTACCTTCATATGCCTAGCAATGCTAGTGCGGGCCCAGCTTATCCAGACCCTGAACCCCTTCTTAATCCAGAAGCAGGATTAATGCCCTCCTAGATTCCACTATAGTGGGGTCCATAACAGGGTCCATTCACAGGGCCTTGACTGCTGTGATGGGGACTATATCCTCCTCTATCTCCCACTCATTTGCACAGGTCTTATTGGTCACCCAAGACACACCGCCATTACAACAGACTCGTGTTGGGCAACCGACACCGGTGACCCAGTAGGCATGACCAATACTAGACACACGTTCCCTCTGCCCCTGACGCAGGTTGTACCTAAGTTGACTGACTTGCCTCTGGTGGTCCAAGAAGGCGTGTTACCACCGCGCAAGAGAGCCAATGGCCAGGCAAAATTGGCCGGACACTAGTAATGGGTGCGTGCCCCGTAAGATGAGTAAGATGACGACCAGAGTGGGGAAACTGGGTCTGCGGATCCTGAATATGCCTCCTACAAAAAGGGGGACTCAGACTCGGAGATAGATACTGGGGTGTCGCCCTCTTGGCTCCCAGGTAGTGTAACTGCTCTGCCTGTGGGGGTGGGGGATGGTATCCGGGACCCTCAGGGTTGTCCCCTGTTTGTCCCGGATGACTTTCGCAATCCACTTTCATTACCATACAATTGGCTTTGCACATGCGTTACCCCCTCTCGAGGGAGGGTTGCAGCAGGTTACGGGTCCTAGCACCTCTGTCCCAGACGCGGTGTGTAAAATGTCAGATGTTGATCCTCATATTATTCAGTTCCTAGCTGAGGTTGGAAGCCCAGGAAATGGTTTGAATTCTCTCTCCATATTTTTAGGACAAGATCCTTGACACATTGGGCCCATATTGTACGCTGTCCAAACTCCTGGAGTCCGCTATAGCGGGGGAGTCCACCTTTGATTTAGAACCATCAGCTGGGTTCTGAGACTGATTTGTCTCCTCGGCAACATGAAAATGGCGTTATCTGCCAAACGCTGTAAGGCGATTTTATTGCATATAGAAACATAGAAACATAGAATGTGACGGCAGATAAGAACCATTCGGCCCATCTAGTCTGCCCAATTTTCTAAATACTTTCATTAGTCTCTGGCCTTATCTTATAGTTAGGATAGCCTTATGCCTATCCCACGCATGCTTAAACTCCTTTACTGTGTTAACCTCTACCACTTCAGCTGGAAGGCTATTCCATGCATCCTCTACCCTCTCAGTAAAGTAATACTTCCTGATATTATTTTTAAACCTTTGTCCCTCTAATTTAAGACTATGTCCTCTTGTGGTAGTTTTTCTTCTTTTAAATATAGTCTCCAACTTTACTGTGTTGATTCCCTTTATATATTTAAATGTTTCTATCATATCCCCCCTGTCTCGTCTTACCTCCAAGCTATACATGTTAAGATCCTTAACCTTTCCTGGTAAGTTTTATCCCGCAATCCATGAACCAGTTTAGTAGCCCTTCTCTGAACCCTCTCTAAGGTATCAATATCCTTCTGAAGATACGGTCTCCAGTACTGTGTACAATACTCCAAGTGAGGTCTCACCAGTGTTCTGTACAATGGCATGAGCACTTCCCTCTTTCTACTGCTAATACCTCTCCCTATACAACCAAGCATTCTGCTAGCATTTCCTGCTGCTCTATTACATTGTCTGCCTACCTTTAAGTCATCAGAAATAATCACCCCTAAATCCCTTTCCTCATATGTTGAGGTTAGGACTCTATCAAATATTCTGTACTCTGCCCTTGGGTTTTTACGTCCAAGATGCATTGTCTTGTACTTATCCACATTAAATGTCAGTTGCCACAATTCTGACCATTTATCTAGTTTACCTAAATCATTTGCCATTTGGCTTATCCCTCCTGGAATATCAACCCTGTTACATATCTTAGTATTATCAGCAAAAAGACATACCTTACCATCAAGACCTTCTGCAATATCACTTATAAAAATATTAAAGAGAATGGGTCCAAGTACAGATCCCTGAGATACCCCACTGGTGACAAGTCCACGCTTCGAATATATTCCATTAACTACAACCCTCTGTCACTCAGCCACTGCCTTACCCATTCAACAATATTGGAATCCAAACTTAAAGATTGCAGTTTATTGATAAGCCTAAGTTAGTTAACTTGGCAGATAAGGAACCGTCCCCTCTCAGCGAATGGCATGCTGTTGGGAATTCCTTTGCTAAGGACCATGGGTCTTTGTGTTAAGACCTTTAGACAAGGTCCAATCTAACTTCATTATGGTTTTTAGCGATAAGGTTTTTTGCTGGGGCCGAGAGATTTAGGAGCCGTCCGAGGATTTGGAGTCCCACCAAAAGTCAACAGAGGCTCCTTCTCCACACACCGACTTTTTCTGGTGCACAAGCCTTCACCTCTTTCTTCCCTTCCCGGGGACGCCCCTGGTCCAGTCATGGCAGTCTTGGACAGTGGTCCAGCAGACATCCTTATAGGAGTACGCTGGCTCCTCATCCTTCCCATATAAGTGTGGGGGGTAGGCTGGCTTTGTTTACAAAGGCTTGGGAATTGATTACTACAGATGTATGAGTGTTAAATACAGTAAGGTTTTTGTTTTTTTGTTTTTGCCTATCTCTGATTTCCCCATCTCTCTGGGCACACCCTCACGGGAACTATCTCTCCCAAAAGATCAGGCCGATCTCATCTCCTCGTAGATTACAGAAATCTATTTGAAAGGGGTAATTAAAGAAATCCCATTCCAGATTCCGAGTTTCAGGAGAAATCTATTTCTGGTTCCCAGAGGTGTCCGGCCGGTGGTAATCCTGCGAAACCTCATAGCCTTCCTACGGTAATATATTCACTGCCTCCGAGATCTGCTCCAACTGGGAGATTGGATGGTCAACTGGACCTTGAAGACTCTTACTTGGCTATTCCCCTGGTGGAAGAACGCAGGGACCTGTGGCAATTCACACCGCAAGGGCAGCGATGGAGGTTTTATTTGACGGCCCTTCAGTCTTTCCTCAGGGCACAGAAAGTCCAATTGATCAGCTATCTGGAAGACATCCTGCTCAAGTCGGCTTTGCACGATAAACTTCTCTCCCACTTACGGTGGACCATGCAACTACTCAAGGACCTGGTTTTTCCTCATGAATAGGGAAAAGTATATTGCATCCCCAGTGCAGACAGAATTTCAGGGTTTCGAAGAAGATTCTGTTGCCCAGTTCCTGTTCCTCCCAGAGTTGAATGTGAAAGCCATCAAGGAGGGGATCAGGCGAGCTCTCCGCACTCCGAACCTCTCCATCCATCAGTTGGCAAGAATTATAGGACTACTAGCCTCCTCAATCCAGGCGATTTTCCAGGACCATTCCGTTATCGTGTTTTCCAATGTTTAATGGGCTCCTACCTCCGAACGGGACACTCTTATGAGGGTGGTGGCTCGACCACATTGAAACATGGAATGGCCGGGTAATATTTGAATCTGCCTCGGATGTGATTATAGAATCGGATGCCAGCTTCCACAACTGAGGAGCGCGTTGCGGGAACGTTCTCCACAGGTGGAAGATGATCAACAGTGGAATCTATGCTCCACATCAACTGTCTGGAATTGTTAGTGTGGTCACTTGCGATCTGCAGTCTTTTGCCCAATCTGGGAACTTTGTTGTATCCTACCACACATGGACAATGTATCAGCAGTACGGTATATCAATCTGGGAAGCACAGGATCGGAGCTGCTGGCGAATCTAGTCAAGGAATCATGGCAATTTGGCCTTCACGGTGATGTATCTGTGATGGCTGAACGTATTCCGGACATGGATGACACATGGGCAGATTGGAATTCCAGGTACCTGGAGGATTCAGGGGACTGACATCTCTCTGTTCAACATTCCGGAAACTCAAGATATTGTGGGGACCACTGGACATAGACTTGGCCACATCTAGACTGAACTCTCAACTACCTCGATTTTTACACTTGGTGGACCCGGCAGCTCTGGTGATGGACGCCTTCCTACAGATGTGGCTGTCCTCACGTCCCTATGCTTTTCCTCCATTCAACCTCATCTCTCGGATGCTGTCTTACCTATGCAGGCATGTGTGTTTGTGATAGCGACACCTTTGTGGCAGACACAACCTTGGTTCCTTCAACTTCGGGAGATGCTGGGGACTTCACGCGTCTGATAACAATGATCCCGAATTTGCTTCTCGTTCCGGATGGGAGGTCGCACGACCTGATAGCTCAAAGCCTGCTCCAACTCACGTCATGGTCAGTTTCCGGAATCCCTGGAAAGTTCCCCAGTCGAACGACATAATTTCATCTGTCAACTGCTGACGAGAATCAATCCACCAACGTGCGTTCCAATTCCAACGGCATGCGTTCCACTTCCGGGTGACGTCGCCTATGTCGGCTGACGTCACTGGAACGCATACCGGATGGATCGTGCATTCCATTGCGGAATTTTTATGTACTATCATACAAGCTCGTATTCATTTCAATAAATGCACTCCATATACATTTCCTAGTCAATATATCTCAATATCAGAATATAGATGCCAGATTGTGATTTGTCCTCTTAAGCAAAAAATGATCACACTTCTTAAGCAAAAAATGAACATTAACTGTTGAACATTAACTGCACTTATTTGCTCTCTCCACAGAGGATTTATGGTAAAAGTACAGATTGCTGCACATCTCCAATAAACCATTGCCATTAATGTCAATATAAATTACTGTCTGTTTGTTGTGGGCTAGGATGTGAGTAATTCAAAAAAATGTCCACAAGGGAATGGAAGCCCTTACCGACTTCCATACATTTGTGCACATATTTTTCATTTATTTATTTAAAGTCTTCAGTACCTTATACATGTTAACGAATCCTTACATTTGATTGACTGAAAGGCATTGATTGGCTCTGATAGCTTAACCAGGATATTGAAGGTACAAGAGGAGGATCTGATTCCTGGAGATCCCACAGAAGGGCACAAAGATGTATAATTTTTACAATAAAGTACATGTTCATTGCATTGTCCATGTAATGCATTGAACTTGGTTGGTAAATACACCCTTGAGCTTCCCTTTCAAAGTGTCTAACAAAGTATCTATATAGAACATCAGTTAACATTTGATTAAAGGAACAATAAACACTACCTATAGATGGCTTTCCCCAGGGTTTGAAAAATAGTTTTACTTACTTTTACTCCCTTGCACCTCTGGGCTAGCGACAGTTGCTCTGCCTCCTTGGCTAAGATAATCAATAATGATTAGCTAAGCCAATCCAATGTTTCCAAATAGGGAAACATTGGGAGGCTTATGCTTATGGGTGGCAAAACTCTGTGCTGTGCCAATAAAATTATCCCTATGAGACCATCTTATTGAATAGCTGAGTTTAACTATGGAGGCAGGAGCTCCTCTAGTGGCTGTCTGGAACAGGTACATTTAACCCTTCCATGTAAATATTGCTCTTTTCACAAAATGACAATGTTTTACATGAACGGTTAACCCCTTAAGACCGGAGGGCGTACAGTTACGCCCTATTTTAGGCGGCTCTAAACGCCGCCGGGCGTAATTGTACGCCCTCCGGTCTTTCATTACTTACCCGGTCGCCGGCGGTCCCACGCCGGCGATTGCGGTGGGGGGGACTCCCAGGGGACTCCCAGGGAGCCCCCCCCGCGGCAGATCCTCCTCCTCCGGTGCCCCCCAGCCATGTGAGAGTGAGGTCCTTGCGAGGACCTCACAATCACATGGCCGGGTAGGCTGCCTCCTGCATTGCCAGCAGGGGGGCTGCCTGTAATGACAGGTGGTCCCCCTGCTGGCTGAAAATAAAAATAAAATAAATTAAAAAGTGTAAAAAAGAAATGTATACTTAGATCATATATATATATATATATATATATATTATACATATATGATCTAAGTATATATATACACATATACATACACACACACACACACACACACTGTCTAGGTGTATTTTACTATTTATATATATATATTAATATCAAATTACACGTAGACTGATACTGATTAAATATATATATAATTATTGTTATATATATATATTTATATATAATATAAAAAAATTAAATATGTAAATACGTTAAAAAATAAAATTAAAAAAATAATTTTAAAAAATAATTAAAAAATATATAGATGTTTGTTATTTCGTTCTAACTGTATTGTGATATTAATATATATATATATTTATATCAAAATACACGTAGAACGAAATATATATATCTACATAAATAAATATATACGTATATATCACTATATATATATATACCTATATATAAATAAAAATATTTTTTTAAAATTATATATATATATATATATATACAAAAATCGAAATGTCCCCTGCACTCACGCTTACAACATGGTCCAATACCGGGCGCACCACCAGAGCTCCAAAGTATGTAGAAGACAACAAGTAGAAAGGCTGCTCTCCGGATTTAAAACAAAAAATTTATTTAAACATATTTAAAAACCACGACCAACGTTTCGGTCCCCGCTCGGGACCTTCCTCAGGGTCAAAAAATAGAACAACAGAACAATACAGTAAAGTGCAATCATGGACAATAAATACCTAAATCTATAATGGCTATGACCCAGAAATTTTTGGAAAGAGGATATGATACTCATGTGTTGGACGATGCTCTGTTGAAAGCCCGTTTGGCTCCGGTACACCCAAGAAAGACACGTGAACCAAATTTGGTTTTTCCAATGACCTTCCATAATTCGTCTGGCCATTTATCAGCTATTGTTAAGGACAATTGGAAGATGATTTCAGCGGACGATACATTGCCAAAGGTCTTTAAGGAAAGACCTCTCATCTGTTACAAAAAGAACAAGAGCCTTAGAGACATATTGGTTCATACCGATTCAGTGGAGAGCTATACTGAGTTGGTGAAACACAACATACGAGGAAGTGTACGCTGTCTTGGGTGTGTGACGTGTGGACATATGACTCCGGCGAAGAAGTTTAACCATCCACACACGAATAGGATTTTTGATATAAAACATACTATCACTTGTAAGACTCAATTTGTTGTATACAAGTTAGTCTGCCCGTGTGGGCTTTATTACGTGGGTAAAACGGAGACACAGTTGTGTGAAAGGATCAGAGGCCACCGGTCTAGCATTAGATTAGCCTATAGGGACGGGTCATCGGACAAACCAGTGGCTCAGCATTTCCTTGACCAAAAACACCCATTGGCATCACTGAAGTTTGTAGGCATAGATCATATCCCTCCCCCCCGTAGAGGTGGTGATAGGGGAAAGATGCTACTTCAAAGAGAAGCCTTTTGGATCCACCAACTAAATACAGTGGCTCCTATGGGGTTAAATGAAAGTAACACATATCATTCTTTTATATGAAGGTTCACAGCTAGTTAAGTTTTAATTTTTATATTCATGCCTATTATTTTTTTGTTTAGTATTTTGTGATTTTAATGTATGGAAAGTGATTATAATTGTTGTTATATATAATTATGTTATGTATATATAGATGGCAAAGCATACCATGATCTGTTAAGCACTTTATACAGTAGCACTTTATTTGCACTATTAGCACTTTTTTCGCTCTTTTTTGACACTATTAACACTTTAGACTATTATATTTGCACTGGATCACCTTCTGGCGTAGTGTTGCTTTAAATACCCAGGATGGGTTAATTCATAAGTTATTTAGGCATTTAGTGAGTCACATTTATGTCTCTATAATGTTTAATGATATATATAGCTATTTAATAGCCTACCATACACTCTAATCACTTTCTTACACTTAACACTCTTTATACTTTTAGATCTCCAGGTTTATATTAACTGTGTTATTTATCATTCAGTCTGTCGCACTGGTTTGTATGAACACAAAGATTTGTGTACATGGTTGCTGTGGCAACGGTAGTATCCGATACGTAGGCACGCAACGTGAGGGGGCGTGACGCATTAACATGCGCGCGCATACCCGGAAGAGTACAGGGTGTCGGCGGGAACACGGGGCAACACACCTGAGTGAGTACTTCCATTATAGATTTAGGTATTTATTGTCCATGTTTGCACTTTACTGTATTGTTCTGTTGTTCTATTTTTTGACCCTGAGGAAGGTCCCGAGCGGGGACCGAAACGTTGGTCGTGGTTTTTAAATATGTTTAAATAAATTTTTTGTTTTAAATCCGGAGAGCAGCCTTTCTACTTGTTGTCTTCTATATATATATACACATATAGATTCACATACGTATATATATACATATATTAATTCTACATATATATTTATGTAATATTTTTACATAATTAGGTATCTTAATTAATTACAATTAGCGGGACCTGCCTGACAACCCATGCCGAAAGTAAAGGGAATTTAATTTGCTAGCACTATATTTAACCCTATAACTTTCCAAGACACCATAAAACCTGTACATGGGGGGTACTGTTCTACTCGGGAGACTTCGCTGAACACAAATATTAGTGTTTCAAAACAGTAAAATGTATTACAACGATGATATCGCCAGTAAAAGTGAAGTTTTTTGCATTTTTCATGCACAAACAGCACTTACACGGACGATATTGCTGTGATACTTGCTGTTTGAAACACAAATATTCAGCAAGTCTCCCGAGTACAACAGTACCCCTCATGTACAGGTTTTATGGTGTTTTCAAAAGTTACAGAGTCAAATATAAGGCTTGCATTTCATTTTTTCACATTAAAATTCGCCAGATTGGTTACGGTGTCTTTGAGACCCTATGGTAGCCCAAGAATGAAAATTACCCCTATGATGGCATACCATTTGCAATAGTAGACATCCCAAGGTATTGCAAACGGGGTATGTCCAGTCTTTTTTAGTAGCCACTTAGTCATAAACATTGGCCAAAATTTGCTTTTTTTGCATTTTTCACTCAAACAAATACTAACACTAACTTTGGCCAGTGTTTGTGGCCAAATGGCTACTAAAAATGACTGGACATACCCCATTTGCAATACCTTGGGTTGTCTACTATTGCAAATGGTATGCCATTATAGGTGTAAATTTCATTCCTGGGCTACTATAAAGTCCCAAAGGCAACGTAACCAATCTGGCGAATTTCAATTTCAAATGTAACGTGCTATATTTGACCCTGTAACCCTTCAAAAATGCCATAAAACCTGTACATAGGGGGTACTGTTTTACACGTGAGACTTTGCTGAATACAAATATGTGTATTTTATTGCAGTAAAAGCAAACAGTATTATGACATTGACAGGTAAAATGTCATGTAGAACTAAAAAAATCTAAATAAATCTTATTTTCTCCCATTTTTTTCATATTAAATTATGTTTCATAGCTAAGTATTTGATATTAAATGAAAGCCCTGTTTCCCCTGAATAAAATGATATATAATAAGGGTGGGTGCATTTAATATGAAAGAGGTGAATTACGGTTGGACAGACATGTAGCGCAAATGCCAGGTTTTGTTT